GCCGTAGTAAATCTGTGTTTTTCTAGTGCGTGTTTTGAGTGAAGTATAAATACTTTTGAGCTTTTGCATTTTGGGATTATCTAGCTCATTATTAAACTTATTCTTTTTTGGTTCTTAGCTTAAGTTTTATGTTTGCTCTCTAGACTAAGGAGCTTATGTCATTTTCTGGAAGGTTTCCCGGCGACTTTCGTTTCTTTCAAGTTTCGAGCTTTTGACTCCGTTTTTCATCGTCTACGCAATAAAAGAATGGGTATTTAGTTTTAAAGCTCTTTACTTCAAGTTTTGCCTCGTTGTTACTTATAATATTTATTAGGGTAAATTTGAGTATGGTTGATGATGGAGGGAAGGTTTGGACTTGATTGCCTTTGTTGTTTTCTTGAGTAGTTACAATGATTAATTTCTTGCCGATCTCGTTTAAAGGTTGAGACCCGATTAGGGTTTAATCACTTAGAGTTAGAAGGTAAGGGTTAATTACCTAGTACTTAAAGCTTGCATCTTTCTCTTTGCTATTTGTTTCTCTTTTCCTTTCCGGCGATGGCATGAGACTCCAATAATTCGATTTCGCTACTTGCTCGTTACTTGCTATTGTTCGTAATTGCTTGCTCGTTTAGTGTTAATCTGATTCCAAACCAATTGATTAGAATGTTTAGGCTTTATTTTCCCCTTTTTGTGATTTGAAAAATCGAGTAGTAGATAAAGCTCCGAAGCGCCTTCCTTTTGAGAACGCCCCGAGTCAGGTAACTCGATTATCCTTTACCCACCGCAAAATCTTGCTAAACACGTCCCATTCAACATACATTCGGGATATATATAGTTTCTCAATTGGTACATATATACAACTTTCAATCTAAAACATGTTTAGTTCGACGCTTAATAAAATGGTGGGATGGAGGTCATAGAAATTTGTTTTTAATTATTATCGAGTACAAAATGATTTTGACTTTGGGCCGATCTTGAGAAAGGCGGTTTGAAATCTTGAATTGGTGTCGAGCACACAGAAAAGAAAATAAGTTCTAAACATATTAATACGGAGAGATTTGGTGATATTATCTAAAGACTACTAAACAATTGAAAACAAATAAATAACAATAAAATCACTAAAGAAGCATACGGAGTTCTAGGGGTTGGGAATATCATTTCAAGTCTTAAATCTATGTCAAACGAATAAGTGTTCGGTTTAAAGGCTGAGGCCTTCACCTAAAGGCCTAGTGGTTAGCTCTCTATAACTCTCATAAGAAGGGATTGAGCATAAACATACAAGCTTACGCATACACACAAACCTATAGGTCTGTCCCCGATATTTTTACGAACATGGGTTCGGACAAAGACAAACACATATTTAATTTAGTCAATGAACCCATAGACGATAAAATTACGAACATGTCTACCCTATTCGAATTAGGGTTGGATATCCTATCTCCTTTCAGATTCTATGTTATCTATTTAGATTAGATGTTGGTCAATAACTAACCAATTTAATCAAGCAATTCTAACAGGCATGAACATCGCACATTCAACACGAATTCGAAACGAGAATCGAAACCTTTTACACTAGGTGGATGAATTAGCTCATTCTTGAATTCAATTTCATGTTAATCAAACAAAAGAAATTTTCATTCAATCAACTATAATAAATAAGATTTAAAACTTACAATCACCAGTCGTTCACCGTTTAACAATCGGTGAACAACGTCGGGAAGTTCGTTTTTCGACCGACGTTCTCGGCGAGGTCTGTGCCGAGAACGCCGATCGATAAACAAATTTCCTGGCGTTGTTCACCAATCAACAGCCATCGGACAACGCCGGTCAATGGCAGTCGGCCGACGATCAACACTAGAAAAAAAAATAATATTTTTATCATAATAATTAAATATAATGATTAATATATTTTATTATATATTTAATTTGTATTCCAATTGATTAATATGAACTATGGATCAACACATAATCAATCAACACAGAATCAATAGTTACTAGT